AAAACATAGCATCAATGGATTCATTAGGAAGCATTTTAAATAGCTCATAATCATGCATAAGTCCACTAATCTTAGATTCCTTAACTTGGGGGGATCCTTCATGTGTGACACATAATTTTACCCAAATTTCGTGTGCGGTTGCACATGTGGAAACTCTATTGTATTCATTTGGGAAAAGACCACAAATTAAGGTGTTCATGGCCTTAGCATTGAGATTGGCTAGGTTCCTTTCTCCATCGGTCATGCTCCCGACTTTGGACTTCTCTACATATTTCTTTTCTATGAGCTCTAGGATGTCAAGATCAATGCAACGAAGATAAATTCTCATCCTAGTCTTCCAATAAGCAAAATTGCTCCCGGTGAAGAGTGGTGGTCTAGTGGTGGATTGTCCTTCTAACATATGCATATTCAAAGAAGCCTCCATTGGATCTTTTCTCTAAGGTTGTTAAACCAAAAACTGATATAGAGACCAAAGCTCTGATACCAATTGCTGGACCCTAGAGGGGGGTGATTAGGGTCAAGAGGCTCTAATATGCAATAAAAATAAAACACAAGCAAACCACAAAACAGTAATGCGATTAAAGTAAAAGAGATAGGGTTAGGAATCGTTATCCTTTGACACGCGATGTGTTGACGAGGTTCGGTCCTCTGACCTACGTCCCCGCTCCCCACTCTCGAGGAGAAATCCACTACACACCCGGTTTGGAAGCCGGAACTTCGTCTACATAGCGATCTCACACGATCTCTCACTACACAGTTTGATCTCAACAGATCACACTCCCTCACAGTTGATCTACACAAGATCTCACTCACACAGCAGAAGAAAAGATGCAAGACTCTCTCTTTACACAGCCCCTATGGCAAAGAGAAGTATTACTGAAGCTTGGAAGTGAACACACACAAAGACCACAGAGAAAACAGATTTGAAAATTTTCTCAGGAAGACAGCAGTCTCTCTGGTTTTTGCAAACGTTAGGGCAACTGGGAAGATGAAGGAGAAAGGGTTTAAATAGAAGAAATTAAACATTTTAAAAACACAACCCAATCTTCCCAATTAAGAAAATAATCTCTTTTTCAGACCATTACCACAGACTGTGCCAAACACGGTTAAGTGAAAGCACAGCAAACGAGGCAATCGACCGTTTGAAAAAGGTCACGGCTGAACGAAGAAAATTTTTGGTTGACCAAAAGGGATTTTCGGTCGACCGAAAAAATACTTCGGTCGACCGACCGAAAATCCGATCGACCGCGAACAACTTTGAAAATTTAGAAAACAAGCAGAGCCATCATCGGTCGACCGGCGCGGTTGACCGATATAGAAATCAAGATTTCGATCGACCGCACCGGTCGACTGACGACCTCTCTGGAAAATACTGACGAATGATCATAGGTGCGGTCGACCGGTCCGATCGACCGCATTCTGATATGCTCCAGAAAACTGTTTTTGACCAACTTAAAATATTTACAAAATATTTGTTTGACCTCTGAAAATTATGAAACTTTGTAAAATGTTTTTGATACTAAAAACAAACTGTTTGCAAAAGGAATTTTACAGATAAGTTCTCATACTTGTGAAAAATGGTATTTTGTGAAAAAATACTTTAAAACATAAGTATGAAGGTGTGTGTGTGATTCCCAATAGCTTCAAGTAAAATCAGTAACTCTTTGCCTACATTCTAGCACTAGAGAGAAAATAGAAAACAAGCTAATATCCTCACATAGAATATAGTTCTTGAATCTTGATATAGCTTTAAGTTTGATGAAGCTTCTTTATGAATTTGTTGTTCTTGAATTAACTTTGCTTCATCATTATGCCTCCTCCTCCTTTGGATCTCATCGTTGTAGCGTATATTCCATCCAATCCTCCATGAATGGCACTAACAAGCTTGATAAATAAATTTACTACATTTGCACTCAATAAGCCATTAGTACCGTTAATGGTGGTTGTAAAACATCATCAAAACATAAGGGCTAACAAGTGATGCTACTAATTAAATGACATGATCGTATATATCGTCATGAGTAAGTTGAAGTTTGTTGATTATAAATATTTAAGAATCACCCAAAGGGTGATTGGTAAATTTTATAAGCTATAAACATGACCATGGTTAATTAATGTACCTGATTAGATATATTTAGAATATCCAAAGATAGCAAGTATGTCTAATTGGAGTGTATATAATTGCTAATTATATGAAATAAAACTAAGCATCAACTATGTTTATTGTTGTACATTGAAGGATCACCCAAAGGAGAACTTCGATGTACATTTGTTGTTTAATTTGAATGTTATGTGAATATGTATTATGTGTTTAAGTTTATGACTCAAAGCATTAATGTGTCAGTATTCTATATATTTGCAGCACCTGTTTCTCTTTATTCGCAAGCCTCGTCTATTGTAAAGTTCAATGAGCTTAATTTTCATGAATGGTGTGAACAAGTTTAGTTTCACCTAGGTGTTCTGGATCTTGATTCAGCACTCCTGTATGATAAGCCCGCTGTTATTACTGATTCTAGCAGTGCTGAAGAGATATTTTTTCATAAGGCTTGGATAAATCAAATAGACTTAGCTTAATGTTCATGCGGATGACGATAGCAAACAACATTAAGTTCACAATTCTAAAAACTGATAATGCAAAGGAATTTATGAAGTTTGTGGAAGATCTCTCGCAATCTGACTCTGCTGATAAGTCAATTGCAGGGATATTAATGGGTAAGTTGACCACCATAAAGTTTGTTGGTTCTCATACCATACATGAGCATGTAATTGAAATGACAAACACAATAGAAAGATTGAGATCTATGGGAATGGAAGTGAGTGAAAGTTTCCTTGTGCAGTTTATCATAAACTCATTGCCTTCTGAGTATGGTCCATTCCAAATAAACTACAATACACACTGATATATGAGGACTTTTTGATGTTCCATCCTTTAATAAAGAAAAATATTTTATCACCTTTATTGATGATTTTTCACGTTATGGATATGTCTATTTGTTGCATGAAAGAACTCAAACAGTAGGTGCCCTAGAGGTGTTTATTAATGAGGTTGAAAGACAATTAGATAAAAGGGTGAAAATCGTTAGATCTGACAGAGGTGGTGAATTTTATGGAAAGTATAACGAAATAGGTCAAAACCCTGGTCCGTTTGCTAAATTTCTTGAAAAACACGGCATATGCGCTCAGTACACGATGCCGGGTACACCGCAACACAATGTTGTTGCAGAAAGGCATAATCGTACACTAATGGACATTGTTAGGAGTATGTTGAGTTATTCCTCTTTATCCTTATCATTGTGGATGTATGCTTTAAAAACCATAATGTATTTGTTAAATAGGCTTCCTAGTAAGGCAGTTCCAAAGACTCCTTTTGAACTGTGGACAAGAAGGAAACCTAGTTTGAGACACCTTCATGTTTAGGGTTGTTCTGCGGAAATATGAATTTATAATCCACATGAAAAGAAACTGGACTCAAGAACAATCAGTGGTTTCTTTATTGGTTATCCAGAAAAATCTAAAGGGTTTAGATTTTATTGTCCTATTCATAGTACGAGAATTGTTAAAACTGAAAATGCCAGGTTCATTAAAAATGGTGACATTAGTGGGAGTATGGAACCACGTAAAGTGGAAATCCAAGAAGTTAAAATGAACGTTCATTTACCTTTAACTTCTTCTCAAGTTGTTATTCCTACAATTGTTGAACAGTTTAACGACTTTCAGGAACAACAAATAAATGATCAAACACTCCATGAAGACGTTGTTAACAATGAACCTGTGATAGATATACCCCATGAAGAAGTAGCTTTAAGTAGGTCTCAAAGACATAGAAAATCTGCTATTTTTGACGATTATGTGGTTTATCTACAAGAGTCAGAATTTGACATTAGAGTTGATAAAGATCCGGTTTTATTTTCACAGGCCATGAAAAGTCATGATTCTAATAAATGGTTTGACACCATGAAAGACAAGTTAAAATCAATGGAGTCTCCTAAAGTATTTACTTCAATCAAAATATGTATACATAATGAATGAACAGGTAGTTCCGAATTTTACAGTGATTACATTCATATTCACATTACTCATAATCATCAACTTGCAGTAATGGTTTATGTATTAAATTGAATACGAAATATCAAAACAAAATAGTACTCAATAATCAGCGTAAACATTTAAATAATCAGTAATGGAACAATAAAAAGCGAGAAAATAAAAATAGATCATGATGGAAAATCATAAGTTCTTTAATCAACCTGGCTCTGATACCACATGTAGATCTAATTCTTTATTTAAGCAAATCAAACTAAACTTTAAATTTTGATTTGATCATCATAATACCAATATCTTAGAACAATATGATTTTCACAGTTTAATTGAGAGAGCGTACCTTGATCCATGATTACAGGAAGAACAACGTTGAAGACTTGAGTTTTCTCTCTCTTCAGCCCTCTTGGTTTTTCCGAATTTTCTTTGATGGAGAGAAAATTCTTCACGTTATGGATAGAGAGAGGACCAAACCTTAAATAGAATAATTATCACACATTCCATCAACGTGTGCAGTTATTTGACAGTCTTATCTCCAACTAAACTGACCAATAAGAATTCAACACTTAATATTATTAAACCATAATAATCCTTTAACTAAGCAAAACGTGGTTTAAAACTGTTACCACGAAAACGTAATTTTTAGAAAGCGTGTCTACTAAAAGTTAGTTTAAAACGTAATTAAAGTGAGCATTAAAATAGTTAATATGTGGGCCACGTAATCTAACAAATCATCCTCAACAACAATACCAACGGCACACAACTTGCGAATGTAGAGAACAGCAAATCAGCAGAAAGTATAAGCATCAATCCCCACTCAACAAAATACAGTTCAAAAAGAAAACAAGGGATGATAATCTACATGTACATTTCCACACAAAATGACAAAGAGCTAATGCTAATAATTCAACAAAGCAACTTATATTCAAAAAAAAAACAAAAAAAAAACGAAGAAAATAACAAAAACAAAGCAACTTATAACCTGCCAATGTTAATAATTCAATAAAGCAACTTATATTCAAAAAACAAAAACGAAGAAAACGAAAAGAACATGTAGTGTAGAACAGTGGCAAAACAATATTCCTTCCTTGATACACAATAAGTCAAGTAAATAACACAACTAACAACGCAAATCCTAAAATAACATCTGCACACAAAACTCCCTAATCCTAACGAACATATGTGTGCATAAAAGCTGCTTCACTTAGAAAGGGGATATCAGCATGCCTCCCTCGAAGCGCATCCATCACACACTTAACCATCACGTAGAGCAACCCTGAGGCCACAACCGTCCAGAATGGCGTATCAAGCTTGCTCCAATACGGCATCCACCCAGCAACAATGTTAATAATCTGAATCGCATTATCAAGCAGCAGTGCCATCGCGACATGAAACCTAAAGAAGTGAGGCCATGTCTTGCTTCTGACCACCATAAAATAGACTGTGATACAGTAAACCATCATGAACCAGTTTGGGAGTAATGCACCAGATACTGGGTCAGTCATAATCGAGAAGTTCTCTAAGAAGGGGAGAAACTGATGAGCGCCCTCAGCGCACACTGATACTATGTGGAGAGGCATTAGATAAGGGATGCAGGCTAGAGTTCTCCAGTACCATCGAGGTTTTTCTTCGTCTGTCGAAGGGTAGGTGAAGGGGTATGGTAGACTGTTCGATGCTCTCGAGATAACTGTTCTTGTGGATTTATGCCGAGGGAGAGTTAGGTATGTGATTTGGTGGTTAAGGTAGTCTTTGCTTGGTAAGGCAGCAGCAGCTAAGAAGAGGGAGGAGGAGAATCCTGTATCTGCAGCTGAAATTTTGAACAGTAATTAAAATGATTAGATAATTAAACATGCCCAAAAAACAATCTAGTCAAAGGTATTTGCTGGAGGAAAAAAAATCCTACAGAGGGAGGAAGGAGATTGCAACGAGCGCTCCAGCACAGTTTTTTAATGTTGCTCATTAAAAGATAAAATAGTCTGATTCCACTGATTCATAATTCGTGATTAAATTTCATTGCATATAGGACTATGATTGCGTTGACATTTTGATTGGACTAATACTGTATAATGGTTGCACTGATTTGCAATTGGAAGGAGGAGGAGACATGTCAGGGTCTCCTTCCTTCCTACTCATATTTCCTTCTTTTCAAATGAATACTTCCTATGCCGATAACTTGTATTGGAAGATCATATCAGACATTAAAACAAGCGTTAAAAAATTTTCTTTCAGACAAACTGAAGAAAAGAAAATGGTGAAACTCTCACCTTGCTTACAAAGTAAGTTTAACTGACAGTATCGGAAACAACTCAAACTCACTAAATAGTATGTGGAAATTCAAAAGATACTCTATTAAGGGGATGTTTGGTTCATTTCCATAAAATTATGGAAATGGATTCCCTCACAAAAAACCAAATTCAAAAAAAATTTAGGATATCTAAGGAATCCAAAACTTGTGTTTGATTTGAAATGATAAAGCAAAGAATAGAAAAGCATATCCAAGCTCATGTTTGTTTCATTTCCAAAGAATAACATCATACAGAGAGGAAATGCTGAGTTGGACACAATTGTCAGCTTTCTAGCCCATTTCCAAGCTAAAAGACAGGATTTGGGCTGTCCAAAAAAGTCACTGTTTTCTCTCTTTTTAAGAAATCTTATCTTAAAAAATTAAAACAAACCCAACTTTTGGAATCCTATAATGACTCAAAACCTACTTTTTGTTCCAAAACTGCTGGTTTCCTAAAATTTTGGCCCAAACAAACAGCCCCTGAGTGTCTAATGAATTCAACTCGATCTAATAGATGGTCAGGTCACAAATGAAACATACTAATAGGCAATAACACCAGAATTTGTGCACCAGTGTTATAATGTTTCTTACTAAATATTGGTTCCTACTGTTGAATTATATCCTCTAATATCAAAAGGGTTAGAACTCGTTAGTCAGTAACTCATGATGCAATTTATTAGTGGGTAAATTATGTTATGTCATGCCTCTCCACCAACGATGGCCATAAACTATTGCCTGCCATATGGTATTAACGCACTCATACGCACACAAAAGTTTAGAAGTTCACTTCTAAACCGAGAATTTACATCTTAGAACATTGATGATCCTGACATGACCTCTGCCTGCTGGTCCAAGTAGATCTTCGGATGAATTAAATTCTTGAACCTTATCAATTAATAGTTAGATCATCAACTCAGCTACAATACGGTACAGTTAACGTGTGTGGTGTCTCTTAGAAGCGCATGTAACACATTGAGTTTATGTAAAAATTTTACTTGTAACAGGATTAGGACTCGTATGTCTGTATATACACGCTGATCCATGTGTAATGCTGACAAGTTGATATACGTCTATGAATGAAATCATGTTGATTTCTATGTATATAGCAACTAACTCTTTTATTGAGATAAAATACATCTTCCTGCCATCATTTCATCTTCTCACCCAAATCAGGCCTAATTTGATCATGTTTTTGCCCGAGCTAGATAGACACAAAATTCTTGTTTTCATACAGTAGGTCTTTTGCATTGATAACCATTTCTAAACAAGTCAGATCGATCTCACAATGTAACTAGATCAGGCGAGACGGTGTGTGTTGTGAATTGAAAGCCTACCAAAGTAATAAGAAACCTTATCATCCATATACTATTAGCATGATTTTAGTTACTACCTACTTATTTTGAATCGTCAGAACTGGATCTGAACAGGTCATTTACTTATTACTACAATATGCTTATTGTAGAAACATCTCCTACAACAAATCCCATGTAGTTCTAAAAGCCATACCTATTGCTGAATGCCGATGCACCGCTGGAGAAGTACCAAAATGTCCCCTGTAACTTAGAGATGCTGCAGATATAGGCTTACGATGAGAGCAGACAAGAGAACCACTGCTTCTTACCTTGCCCCAAGTTGCCATGGACACTCTCTTAGGGGTTACCATGCTTCTCTTTAGCTTCGTGCCATAAGAACCTAGTATTGAACAACAGAAAGAAAATAGTTTACCAGTCTTAGAGACAAACAAACTTTCCATTTTTTCTAGAGAAAATATCCTCTAAAACATTTAATAGTGCAAAAAAGACAATAAGAGCTATATCACTTACAGACATTTGAAAGGTCTTAGTTTTGCTTCCTGATAGTATGTACTGTGGATTAAAGACTTAAGGACATATAAAATAGAGAAGCTGCATCATGCAACCAAACTCCTATTCATTCCCGTGCTCTACCAGAAAACTCGTTTCTAAAAGGTCTATATAATTTAATGATGGCGCCAAAAATAACAGTTACATTTTTAGCACCTAAACAAATCAAGGGTAAAATTTCACAAACCACTCCCATCCTGAACTTTGTGGCATTAGCACAAAACTCCCATATACTTTTTACAAGGGTTTAAACTCGCTCTCAGTTATCAATCAACTCTTTTACAAGGGTTTCAACTAAAATACCCTTCTGAATTTGCTTCACTAAAATACCATGACCAACAACAGTTAGCTTAAGTAGATGTGTGCTTAGTAGGTGACATGTTTTGGATAATTTTGGCCTTATGCCTTTACCCTTTCAGTTAACGATGTTAGTGATAATTTTGTATAATTTTGAAAGGTTGGAGGGTTTCCTCTAACTTGATGTTTAGGGGGTTTTGTGCAAAATAACAAGGGAAGATAACAAAAAGATTCATGTCATCAGCCTACAAATATAAGATAACAACGGAATTCACAAAAAAGACATTAAGTAGACATTTATCATTATCCATCCTTTGCTCTTGTCATCTTCTCGGAGAAAGAGAACATATAAAACAGTACTTATTTATTAAAAAATAACGAGTATGACATGGCATCCTATTTTTGCTAAATGAGCTACAAAGAGAGACTCACGGTGAGGTCTACTCTACATTGATAGTCACATCAAAGCAGACCTCACTACTCTTATCTATTCAAATGAGATGGCAGTTTACATCCAACATCCCCAATTTATTCAAATTACTGAAAATGTTAGTAGATCTCAGAAAATTAGCCCTGGGTCATTTGAATACATAACTTTCAACCTAGTGGACTTACAAGATAAAGGTCCAGTATCACAACAATTTGATGTCACATTGCTGCAGTTTAGGGCCTCTTTGCGAAAGTAAGTGAAATATGCTCTCCCAACCGAAGAATAGCGGGATGTGAAAATAAAGATAAGTCGCCATCCAAGTTCACACGAAAAATCCAAGAGCCATGTGCTTTGTTAGCACTTAGCATGGCTGCCTTGCCCACAGAGAAACAAGAACAATGTCTAAGCAGTAGGCCTGTCCATCCGGCCCGGGCTGGGCAAAACCGGAGCCCAGACCCTGGCCCGGTTGCCTCGGGCCGGGCCGGGCCGGTTTTCTTTGTTTTTTAAATTTTTTATTTTTTTTAAATTTTCAAGAAAACAAAGCAAAAAATAACAACAATTTTGATAAAAAAATTATATTATTAATCATTTGTAATTATGTAATTTATAAATATGAAAAATTATAGAAATTAAAATGATAAAATGATATAAAATAATTGTAGAATTTATAGAAACAAACAAAATTAAAAATAATTATAGAATTCAAAGAGCCCAAGAGGCCCAAGGCCCAATCATCAAAGACCTCTAAATATATATATTGTAGCTAGGATTTGAACCACTAACCTCCTTTCCAAACTCCTAAATTTTACCACTAGACTAAGTAACCCAAAGTATTCATGCCATTCATATATTATACATAAACAAATTGTAAATACCTATAGAAATTACATAAACAAATTGTATTATACATAAACATATATATAAAAAATATAAATTATATATAATACACACACACACACACATACATAAACTTATATGTACACATATAAATATATTTATATAAGACTATAAATATATATATATATATATATATATATATATATATATATATATATATATATATATATATATATATATATATATATATATATATATATATATATATATATATATATATATATATATATATATATATATATATATATATATATATATATATATATATATATATATATATATATATATATATATATATATATATATACACACATTATACATA